AAATATCTAAACGTTCTTGAATCAAGATTAATTTACTGTACAAGTAAATGATTTAAGATATTAAGTCTTGTTTTCTAAAAAAAAAATTATAAAAAGTTTATTAGTTTTTGTTTAAAACAAGCAGAAATATCTGCTAATGGGGTAAGAAAAATAGGCTAAACAAGATTATTTTTCTTGCGCCATTGGCAGATATTTCTGCTTGTTTTAAGGAAAAATAAACTTTTTTTTTTTTTACAGAAAACAAGACATAATATCTGAAGTCATTTACTTGTACAGTAAATTAATCTTGATTCAATAATTTTTTAGATATTTATATTAGAAAACAAGACAAAAACACTAAGAGAATCATTTTTTGCAGCGTACTCTTAGAAACATCTCACTGACTATACATCACAAGCATCAGAATTTCATCATAGAAATATCAGCATCTGCAGAAAATTTATATTGTTGCTCAGTTTGAGTCTCTGAATAAAATTGAGCTGCTTTTTCCTCCATATTCTCAATGTATCAGAACCATAAAAGCCTGATGGATCAAATACATTAACACATATGCAAAGTTTTGTTTTGTGTTTTGTCTGAACTGTTCCATTATTTATTATTTCTCATGTCAGGCTTTCCAGGGTTAATGTGTGATCATGGGCAGATATTCTCCATCCTCCAGATGAAGTACAGGACTGATATCAGCACTGAACATCACATTGAAGATTAATTTATGGACCTCACAGAGCTAAGAATAGATCGACAGACTGCCGAACGTCCCTGATGGGTTGAATTATATAAGACACACGTTTCTGGCTGCATAAACAGGTAAACAGCTCCAGAAAGATTCAGATGCGCTTTAATAATTGATGGAGCTCAGCGGGCGCCGCTGATGAGAGAAGCACATTTGCCTGAAAGCTGATGATGAAAAGCAACACAGAAAGGAATAAACAGCAGGGATCTTCATCTTTCGAGGCCTTCGGTACGAGTTAAACTCGGTTTATCCCACATTCACACGGCTGCGATTCAAAGTCTGCAGATGAAACCTGCAAGGAATGGTTTTGTTGCGGTTACAGACTGTGATCTGGATTATAATGACTGATGGTTAGAACAGAGCAACAACAACAAAACCCCTCTTCATCAAAACTCTGTTCCGGGCCAGAGACGAGAAGTGCAAAGCCTCCATTTCTGATGTGATTTTGGGAAGGATCTCCCGCTCAGAGCATCACCGCAGGCGAAGCAGCTCAACTGAGAAGATCCTTTTCCCAGGATGCAATGCTGAAGAGTGACACACGAATGCTCCTTCCTCCAACAGGAACTTAAATCGTTACAGTGTTTCATCACGACAGCATTCTCATAATGAACCAATTAGCAAGATGTGCTGGTTTATAACTGCGTTAACTGACAGACACTGAAGCTCATTAACGTTATAGTTCACCCCAAAAAGGTTTTTTGTCCCTATTGACTTCCATAGTATAGAAAAAACACAATTTACGTCAATGGAAATCAGAAACTGTTTGGTTATCCACATTCTTCAAAATATCCTTTTGTGTGTTCAGCAGAACAAAGAAAATCCTGCAGGTTTGGAACGACTTGAGGGTTTCATTTTTCGATGAACTATCTCTTTAAATACCGCATTTCCCATTATGAATTATGATAGAGTTTGGTTCATCGATCCGTTGGGTCGGATTGCTTTCTGACCACAACCAAACCACTCCGGAGTTAATTTTAGCCCATCTCGGACTGATAGTTTTTGTGCGATGAATATATATTTGAATGAACTGAACTAAGGGATCGAACAGCAGGTTCCAGCTCTGAAAACACCCTAAAACATGACAAAAATCTTCTGTAGTATTATAAGTGGATTTCAGGGATAAAATATCGGATTATATACAATACAAGCGAACACAGAATTGGTTTTGTGGGCAGTGCAATGGAGAAAGTCAAGTCAAGCCACCTTTATTTATATAGTGCTTTTACTGATCGTGCCAAAGCAGCTTTACGGTGTCAACAGAAAAATAGTTTCTCAATAATGCAAAGAGTCATTTTTCCAGCTAAAGTCAATTAATTGATGATGTCATCATCCAGTTCAGCTCTCTCGGAAAAAAACACAAGGTCTAGAACTTCTTTCAACTCGACCGAAGCATTTCTAGAACAGCGTTTCATGCGCAAGGTTCTGCAAAAGATGCGAGCATCAAACACATCCTTCAATCACATTTACATAGAAAAACACTGGAAAAGTAGCGCGATGGAATGCAAAAATGTGTTCTGTGTGAACGGCTCTTTATAAAAGCTGACTACAAACAAGACGGTTCCGTAATTAAAGAGCAACACACTAGAATTACTGTAACAAAACGAGAGAGACACAGAGAGTCTCACAGTCTCCTCCAGACGGTCACCTAGACGCTCCTCAAGACGCCTCCGGCATGTGGACATGAGAGGCCTCGTCCA